AGAGGCAAAGCTACAGAGAGGCAAAGCTACAGGGAGGCAAAGCTACAGAGAGGCAAAGCTACAGAGAGGCAAAGCTACAGGGAGGCAAAGCTGCAGAGAGGCAAAGCTTCGGGGAGGCAAAGCTTCAAGGCTACAGAGAGGCAAAGCTACAGAGAGGCAGAGCTACAAAGCTGCAAAGCTGCAGGGAGACAAAGCTGTAGAGGCAAAGCTACCAAGCTACAGAGAGGCAAAGCTACAGAGAGGCAAAGCTGCAGGGAGGCAAAGCTGTAGAGATGCAAAGCTGAATAGAGGCAAAGCTACAGAGAGGCAAAGCTGCAAAGCTGCAGATCAGAGGACCACATCAGTCCAGTTCTCAGGTCTCTGTTCCTTAAGTCTCTTCATGGTTTAAAGTCCATCTCTAGACCAGCTGGACTATGAGAACCAGGTTTTGGTCTCCTGCTGGGGCCCAGAACCGAACCAGAACCAGAACCAGAACCAGAACCAGAACCAGAACCAGGAGAGGCTTCATATCATTTTAGCTCCTAAAACCTGGAACTTTGTCTTTTAGAGGCGAAACAGACTTGAACTCTGGATGTTTAAATCCAGCTGAAAAAATCTGTTTAACTGGATGGTTTTGATCTGCTCTCCTCCCTGTTTATCTGTTTAACTCACTGACTGCCAGCCATTTTCAGAACGGAGAGTCCCATACTGCCAGAGTTTTTTGAGCATTTTGACTGATTTTTCAAGAGCCACAGAATAGTTTGTGCTATGACTATGTAAACACCGAACACACCAAAAGAAAGAGTAGACTCTCTTCTTTCATCAGGAAAAAAAATTGTTTCTACCTTATTCCGTTCTTCCTCGACTTGCGTCTCACCGGCGACATGTTCTCTCATAGCGAACCATTGCGTTTGTTTTTATTTGCCTACAGTCTATGCTCATCTCCCATCAAAAGTGGCACTGCCCCCTAGAGGGTCAATTTGTTACTACATACTCTGTCTGGAAGCCGATATTTACGGACAAGCTTTAGCAGATCGTCCCTCAGCCACTCTCGTTGAAAAACATAAAAGACGTCTATAGACGTCTTTGGCAGCCAATGAGTTAATCTGTGAGCTTTACAGCTGAAGCTGCCCTGTTCTGTGTTTGTTTGCCTAACCCTAACCCAGTCCAGCTGCGAGTGCATGGCCGGTATGGTGCCCCTGGCGCCCTCGGGGGACCCGGACTTAGGCTGCCGGCTGGTCTCGGCCTGCTCACCGGACACCTGCCACCACACGGCTGTGTGTGAGACCCTACTGAGCGGGGAGGCCAGGTCAGTAAACTGAACCTCTGAGAGAAATCTGATGCTGGAGTTCGTCTGGGTTAGGGTTAGGGTTGGGGTTGGGTTAGGGGTTAGGGTTAGGGTTGGGATTGGGGTTAGGTTCAGAATCAGAATCAGAATCAGAATCAGAATCAGAATCAGGTTTATTGCCAAGTAGGTTTTCAGACTTACAAGGAATTTGCCTTGGTGTTTAGTGCACAACACAACACTTCTATGAGAAGCAAGAATAAAAAGTAAAAATAAAAATAAAGATATAGGGCAGAATGATAAAACTGAAAAATACAATCTTTAAAAGTATAAATCTGAATGTACAAATTAACAATCTTTAAAAATATAGGTTTGAATGTGCAAATTAACAATTGAAATGTGCAATGTTGATCTGCAACGACAGACCAGAAAATGCTGGAGCATTGGGTAAAATAGTGAGGTAGAGGGGGGGGGAAGAATAGGTGGGGGTCGCTGGTCTTGTTGATGAAGGTTATGGTTAGGATTAAGGTTAGAGATGGGTTTGGGTTTGGGTTAGGGTTTGGGTTGGGTTAGGGTTTGGGTTGGGATTGGGGTTATGTTATGGTTAGGATTAAGGTTAGAGTTGAGTTTGGGTTAGGGTTGGGTTAGGGTTGGGGTTAGGGTTAGGGTTGGGATTAAGGTTAGCGATGGGCTTGGGTTGGGGTTAGGGTTGGGTTAGGGTTAGGGTTAAGGTTGGGATTGGGGTTATGTTATGGTTAGGATTAAGGTTAGAATTGGGTTTGGGTTGGGGTTAGGGTTAGGGTTGGGATTGGGGTTACGTTATGGTTAGGATTAAAGTTAGAATTGGGTTTGGGTTGGGTTAGGGTTAGGGTTAAGGTTGGGTTAGGTTAGGGTTGGGGTTGGGTTAAGATTAAGGTTAGGGTAAAGGTTGGGTTAGGGTTAAAGTTGGGTTAGGGTTAGGGTTAAGGTTGGGTTGGGATTGGGGTTAGGGTTAAGGTTAAGGTTAGGTTAGGGTTGGGGTTGGGTTAATATTAAGGTTAGGGTAAAGGTTGGGTTAGTGTTAAGGTTGGGTTAGGGTTAGGGTCAGGGTTAGGTTAGGATTAAGGTTAGGGTAAGGGTTGGGGTTGGGTTAGGATTAGGTTTAGGGATTTAGGGATAAGGTTAGGTTCAGGGTTAGGGTTAACATTAAGGTTAGCTTTAAGGTTGGGTTAGGGTCAGGGTTAGGTTAGGGTTAAGGTTAGGTTAGAGTTGGGGTTAGGATTAAGGTTAGGTTTAATGTCATTAGGTTTAGGGATAAGGTTTAGATTAGGATTAGGTTTAGGGATTTAGGAATAAGGTTAGGGTTAGGTTTAGGGTTAAGTGTCCTCGTGTTTGTGACTTAGAACATGATGTCGACATCATTCAAACATTAAAAAATGACTTAAACTACTAAACCAGATTTGTTTTGCTCTTGTTTGTCTTCATGGTCTTTAGCAAGTATCATTTTCAGTTTAATTTCCATGCTCTTCGGGCTGAAAACCTTTAGAACGGGGCTAAAGGCCTTTTTTCTCTCCTCTCTCAGATGCGTCTGCACGCAGCGGCAGATCGGCGACGGCTGGCGTTGCTACGGCAACCTGATGGAGCGAATCCTGGAGCTGGACTCGATCGGCAGCCAGAGGGAGAATCTGACCGGAGCCGTCGCCCTGTTTGGTAAAATAAAAAAGGGGGAGGAGCCTAAAGACTCCACATCCAGGCCTAGAAACACACGGTCAGGAAGGTGTTTCTGCTCTACCTGCCTAAGTATAGGTTACACCCCATCTTTAGTCCAGAGAGTTAGGGTTAGGGTTAGGGTTAGGATTATGGTTAGGGATAGGGAAAGGGTTAAGGTTAGGGTTAGGATAGGGATTGGGATAGGGTTAGGTTTAGGTTTAGGGTCAGGGTTAGGGTTAGTTTTAGGGTTTAGGATAGAATTATGTTTAGGGATAGGGAAAGGGTTAGGGTTAGAGATTCGGTTAGGGATTGGGATAGGGTTACGTTTAGGTTTAGAGTTAGTTAGGGTTAGATTTAGAGTTAGGGATAGGGATAGATTTAGGGTTAGGGATAGGGATAGAGATAGGGAAAAGGTTAAGGTTAGGGTTAGGGTTAGGTTTAGGGTTAGGTTTAGGGTTAGGGATAGGGTTAGATTTAGGCTTAAGGATAGGGTTAGGGTTAGTTTTAGGGTTAGGGATATGGTAAGGTTTAGGGTTAGGATTCGATTTAGGTCTAGGGTTAGTTTAAGAGTTAGGGATAGGGATAGGTTTAGGGTTAGTTTTAGGGATAGGTTTAGGGTTAGGGATAGAGTTAGATTCAGGGTTAGTTTTAGGGATAGGGTTAATTTGAGGGTTAGATTTAGGGTTAGGGATAGGGAAAGGGTTTCGATTATATATGGGGTTAGGATTAGGTTTAGGGTTACCTTTAGGGATAGGTTTTAGTTTAAGGTCAGTGTTAGGTTTAGGGATGGGATTATGATTAAGGTTAAGTATTTATGTACACATATATATATATATATATATATATATATATATAAATGTGTGTGTGTGTGCGTTTATATTTATTTTGCTGACAATTGTATTCACATTTCTGCTAAACGCCACACCTCATGCCTCACCTCATGCCATGTGATATATTTGTGTCCAGCAGATGTCCCCATAGAGCAAATGAAGCTTCTAGAAGCTTTGAGCCAACTATGAAAACCCACAAATAACAAACAAACAAATATCTAAGGAGTGAAAAACAGAAGGCCGATAACAAACCCAGACCACTGCCACCGGACACAGGAGGGGTCTAACCCTCCTGGTTAACCCTGACCCTAACCCTAACCCTAACCCTAACCCCCCCCACCCCCCCCTGCCGTGACCTTTGACCCCTGTGTTTTACAGAGGGAGGCTGCTCTCTGCTATTGAGCCACGGTGGACCCTTCACGGCCTTCGTCCCCCTGCTGAAGGCACCTCTGACCGTAGGTCCATCCACTCTCCTCTTCTGATCAGAGTAAAGAAGTAGAACTCATTAACTCATTGACTGTAAGGCTTATTTATGTTTTGGATTTAGGCTTTTTTAACTGGATCTGTTGGGCTGTTAACTCATTGACTGCCAGCCATTTTCAGAACAGAGAGTCCCATACTGCCAGAGTTTTTTGAGCATTTTGACTGATTTTTCAAGAGCCACAGAATAGTTTGTGCTATGACTATGTAAATACCGAACACACCAAAAGAAAGAGTAGACTTTTTTCTTTCATCAGGAAAAAAAAAAGTGTTTCTACCTTATTCCGTTCTTTAGTAATCAGCAGTAGAACATAGGTTGGTTTCAACAAAAACACCCGTTTTTTATCAATAAATGGAGAAAACAAGCTTTTTGTGAAAAGATACAGTTCAAGCATCAAGTGTCTTTGATGCTATTTTTCTTGATTTAGTGACATCTCAAACATCTTAAAAGTTTTTCCTTCTATAAAACGGCAAATATAACGGCAATATAAATAATTTATTACTATGCGAAAAGTCAAGATTGTTTTTTGTGTAGTCTTCTGCCCCCTGTTATCAGGTGTATCTGATTGTGTAAAATAGTATTTTGAACAAAATTTTTACCATTAAATTAACCAAAAGGTGTCAGACGCAAAACATTTCAGAAACCGTATGAATCAAATATGATACATTTGGTATTACAGGGTTAATTTAGTTCTTTTTACATCTCTCTTATATAATACATTGGTTATACTGCTATTTGTAATTATCTGTAGTATTTATTAAGGAGTTATCGTAGGTTTTTGGAACCAATTATAGGAATTACAGTCTATTCTGATGGGAATATTTGAACCAACATACAAATATTTTAACATACGAAATCGGTCCTGGAACCAGTTAAACTCCTCTGTAGAGGTTCTGCTGTATTTCTGACTGAAAAACCGTCTGTTTTCCGCCTTTTTTCCAACGCGTTTGGTTCTCGACGGCCTGCTTTTTGATGTTAAAAGACGTGAATAAGGGTTATTATAATATAATTATATATAATAATGATAATATAATATATATAATAAGGGTTAAGACTGACTCAGTTCCTTCCCTGCAGGGTGTCGATGAGGAGGCGGTGTGCAAAAACCACCTGATTCTGGGCCAGCACCTCCTGCAGGACCTCCAGGGGAAGGACTTCAGCCTCTATGGAGGAGGGAAGCTGAGGGCCAAAGCCAACCAGGTGAGGAGCCCACAGAGGGTTTCAAAGCTAAAACCAGAATAATCAGGGCTGATATTCAGAGGTTTACTTTTGCTTTTATGTTTAGGGCAGCAGTTCTGCAGCTTCCAGAGGTTTTTCTAGTTTTTTTTCTCTCGTTTTCAGTCCAGTTTTTCTCCGTTCAGCCTCTAAACTCTGAGTCATCCAGGCCCCTAACTCAAGGGATGAGTCAGCGTTGTGTCCAATCAGCAAAGATGGAGTTCACAGGTCAAACCTTAATCCTCACCGAGAGATTCAGATGAAAAACGGCCTCATTTTTTAGCTTCTTTAAGCTCCAGAGTGTCTCTGAGCAGCAGCTTTTTGCAGCTTTCAGAGTTTTTCTCTTTTTCAGTCCAGTTTTGGTGTTTTTTTTCTCTGTTCAGCCTCTAAACTCTGAGTCATCCGGGCAGAAAAAAGGCCCCTAACTCAAGGGATGAGCCAGCGTTTGTGTGCAGCTTAAAGTGGATCAGAAGGAGAAAGATTAGTTTAAAAAGTCTTCATCCATCTTTAATTTCTTCATATTTTCCCTCAAAGCAGCCAGACGTCCTTTAAAGTGTTCTTTAGTGACTCTGATCCAGGATTTCTGAGCTCTTTCAGAGTTTTTGTTCAGACATTTTCTACTTTTTCACTCGTTTTTAGTCCATTTTTAATCTTTGTTGAGTCAGAAAAAGGCCCCTAACTCAAGGGCTGATCCAGCATCTGCAGTTCAAAGTGGATCTTTAGGCTCTTTGATAGCAGAATTTCCTATCAAGGATGGAAGAAGTGTTTTACATTTAACTGATTCTGCTAATAAAAATACCCAGAATCTGGATAATTTCCAGCCGGTGGGTAGAATTACAGATAAAATAAAGGAAGAAATGTAGACAAAAACGTAATTAACGGACAAAAAACAGAAGCAAAACAGTCATAATTATGAACAATATTGACTTATTTTTGTTTCAGGATTATAAAAGACAAACCTACAGTATAAATATAAAGTGGGATGTAGCTCCGCAGGCTATTTGACATTTGAAGTGCAGCAAACCTGTAAAGAGCTGATTTTTTTAGATTTATCCTCCCAAACAAACCCAGAGAATTGGTGGTTTTAAGAAAACTGCTTTAGGATTATCAGGTGGGTCTCCTCCGAGCTTCTCTGTGCTTGCAGAGGTTCATCCTGATGGACAACCCCAGGAAATCCTACACCGTCCTCCAGTCCGACCTGCCAGCAGCCAATGGGATCATCCACATCATCGACCAGCCAATCAGGAGCTCGCCCACCTCCAGCTCGCGCCGGGACGAGCTGGTAGGGTTCAGGTTCAGAGGTTTCAAACGGGGAGATCCACAGAGAGAAGCCCAGGCTTCTTCTTCTGTGAAGGAGTTTCTCATTTTGGCTTTTTTCTTTTTGTCCAGTTTACCATTGGCACCATCGGGGAGATCCTGAAGAAGTACCCGCAATTCAACCGCTTCCTGTCTCTGGTCGATGTGAGTGTGTCTCCGTTTTATGCTCAGAGGATTAACTATGCAGGGCTTTAGGAGGTCTGATAGAAGGTCTGATAGGAGGTCTGAGAGGAGGTCTTTAGGAGGTCTGATAGGAGGTCTGTTAGGAGGTCTTATAGGAGGTCTTTAGGAGGTCTGATAGGAGGTCTGATAGGAGATCTGATAGGAGGTCTGATAGGAGGTTTGATAGAAGGTCTTTAGGAGGTCTGTTAGGAGGTCTGATAGGAGGTCTGAGAGGAGGTCTGATAGGAGGTCTGATAGGAGGTTTGATAGAAGGTCTCTAGGAGGTCCTTAGGAGGTCTGATAGGAGGTCTGATAGGAGGTCTGATAGGAGGTCTGATAGGAGGTCTGATAGGAGATCTGATAGGAGGTCTGAGAGGAGGTCTTTAGGAGGTCCTTAGGAGGTCTGATAGGTCTGTTAGGAGGTCAGAGGTAATCAATCCGGTCAGACAGATTTAGGC